ATCTTAGGGGTGAGGAGAGGGTAAGTGGACTTTCCATCTGAGCAGCCAGGGAGAGGCATGCATTTTTATGTGCATTATAAGTTGAATTTTGAACTGAAATTATTACACATACATTGGTAGAAGAATAGAAGGGAGTTAAAAAGTCAAAAGATGGACTAAGAAACAATTTGATTTTAAAAAAATCATGATTTTTTGAGCCAATTTCATGATTTTTGAGGGTCTGACTCATGATTTTTGGTCTCTTGAGATTGGCAATACTGGTGGAGGGATAACATTGGTGTGTCGCTGGAGAAATAGCATCAGCGAAGGGGTTATCTGTGGTGAATGGCTGAGGGGATAGCGCTGGGGGCAGAGGGATAGCTATGTCTAGTTGTCAATGGCATAATATTGTGTATTGAGGATTGGTTGTGTTGGAACTGCAAGCTATCACTTTTGGGGGGTGGGGCGAGAAGGAGTTCCTGTGCACTATCTGGGCCTAGCAAGCAGCAGTCAATTTGCAGCCAGCCAGCCTAGAGCAAGCTGGGGTGAGTTGTGCCTCTGTTTTGGGGAGCAGCCTGCTTTGTCTCTCTTTGTTTTTGGATTCTTGCATGTTATCATTTTGAATTCTAAGAAATAAAACAGTGTGACAGACCCAGACCAGTGGGGTACAGGAATCTAGTAGAAGGCACATATACTGGCCAATTTTCTGTTCCCTGAGTGACCAGAGCAGGGGCTGCCCTAGAGCAATCAGGAACCTGCTAGAACCAATTAAGACAGGCAAGCTAATTAAGACACCTGGAGCCAATTAAGAACTTTCTAGAATCAATTATGGCAGGCAGGCTAATCAGGACACCTGGTTTAAAAAGGAGCTCCCATCAATTAGTAGGGGTGTGTGCAAGGAGTTAGAAGGTGTGCTGCTGGAGGAGTGAAGAGTTCAAGTGTGATCAGGCTTCAGGAGGAAGATCCTGCAGTGAGGTTGAAGAAGGTGCTGGGGGAGGCCCTGGGGAAGTAGCCCAGGGAGTTGTAGCTGTCATACAGCTGATATAGGGAACATTGTAGACAGCTGCTATCCACAGGGCCCTGGGCTGGAACCCGGTGTAGAGGGTGGGCCTGGGTTCCCCCCCATCCCCCCCCCACTCCTGATCAGACACAGGAGGAGTTGACCTGGTCTGTGAGAAACACCAGAAGGGAAGGTCTAAATTGGAAAGGGATCTGGCCTGGCCCCGACCCACTAGGTGGGACACAGAGACTGTGGGGATTGTTCTCCGTTTCCCCCATGCTGGCCAGTGATGAGGTTAGCTGAGTGGATGGCAGGTTTGAGCCACTAGCAAAAGTGGCCAAACTGAGGGCTGCCGTATATCTCTGAGGCAAGCAAATACGCCTATAAGCGCAGGACCCACCAAGGCAGAGGAGGAACTTTGTCACACAGTGTAACTATAATCTTCCAGCAAGCGAATTTCATTTATCTAACTTCTCTGTTGATAAATTGAATAGTAAATTGCTTGACCTCACTTTGGTTCATTATGAATTATACTTGAGACCAAATAACCAATGTCAATCAGGTTTATTAATATGGTACAGGAAAATGGTTTTGTATATAACCTGTCTCTGAATAGCAGTCCTTTGCAGCAATGTTATATTCACCTTATGCAGCAGGTGCGCTCCCCAAGTTACACATTTCAGCTGGTATTTTATTTTTTATGTATATGTGTATATGTATGTGTATATGTGTGTGTTTCACAAGTTACACATTTCTTTACACTTCATTAAAATCCAGCTAATCAGTTTGTTCCAGTTCCCTAACTAGCTGTTCTGTTTCTTCCTTATCTTTATTGTTGATCGGGGTGGGCAAACTTTTGGGCCTGGGGGCCACATTGGGGTTCTGAAACTAGATAGAGGGCCGAGTAGGGAAGCCTCCCCAAACAGCCTGGCCCCTGCACCCTCTCACTTTCTGCCCCCGACTGTCCCCCTCAGCATCCCCCTCCCATCCAACCCCTCCTCCTCTTTGTTCCCCGCCCC